ACAACAGCGCAACACTCATTGGCGGCGAGCACAGGGGGGAAATCAGAGGGACCAGGCCTTCTCAGAAGGCTCGGAAGGCCTCAGGTCTTTTCTTCTTCCGTAAACGCACAATCCCTTCATCATGAGCCAGCAGTGGCGGCGCAGCGGGCGTTAAAACTGTGAACGGGTTTTTGGACGCCCGACATGGGCACGGAAACAATGGGCACAATGCCCAACAGCAAATGTTGTCCCGAACCAACAGCGGGCGCTGTTGGGCAGGCGGCCTTCTGTCTCAAATGGGCACCGGCCGCGGCGGCGCGGACAGCGAGTTCTGTTCAGAATGAACAGGAACTGCTGTTGGGCATTGTACCCATTCTTTCAGTACCCATTTCGGGCGTGCAGAGGGTTGCCCTGTTCAGCAAGAGCAGTGGCGGCGCAGCCAGAATTAAAACATGTTAAAGGATTACCCTGCGAACGCGGCTGAAATTCTGGCCGCAAGCTCGCGCAGAGAAGGGGGGGAGGAGGAGGAGAGACAAGAGAGGCCAGTCAGTAGCCAGGAGCAGCGTTCAGGCCAGCCTGCAATAGGCGAGCTTACGCGTGCACCCACGGACTGAAACACTGGGCAATAGAGCTCGCTTATAGACAGCCGGAGTCATCGCGCGACTGCTCGGCAGTTTAGGCGCCCACATGGCCACGGCAGTGCAAATGCAGAGAAAGAGGCTACACAGCTCCGACATCTGGACACCAGGGAGGCGAAGGAAGAGAAGGAGGCACGCGAAAGGAACAGGGAGAGGAGGAAAAGAGGGGAGAAAAGACTGAAGCCCCCGAATTATAATCTCGCATCCTGAGCCCGATGCGGCCCCCAGCGGAGCAGAGTCCGCCAATCCTCAAATGCATTGGGCCACCGCGGCGCTCAGGGTGTGGAGTCGACGCTGGGCCAGCCAGCGGGTGCCCCGATCCCCATGACGCTCCGCGTCTATTTTCTTATATATATATATATATATATATATAGATACACGTGTGTATATATATGTATATGTATATGTATATATATATATATATATATATATATATATATTACAATAGCATGCAAGGCTGCTGCCTTCAGAGAGGCGGCGGACGAGGAGAAAGAGGGAGGGAGAAGAAACACGCTGCGAGTCAACACCCTGGGCACATTGGTGCCGAGCTGCCTAGGAAGCCTCCATGAGGCCACCGGGCGACATATAAGCGACGATCGCCACAACGGACGCGCGTTCTCCTAATCACTGGCGGGCATGCAGTCACTCGCCATGTCTCTGCCGCGAGGCCGATGATGCGAGACGCACTGCAGCATCGCAAGAACTCGCAATTCTCCAAAGCGTTGGCGGATAGCTGGGCGTAAACAGCTAGATGCAATAACGCAAAGCTGGGCATAAACAGCTATCTCAGCGTACTCCTGCGACGACGCGCGCACGGTCGGGCGGACAAATCCTGCCCCCCCATGAAGCCGCCATGCACGATGTCCCGCGAACGTGGCCGAAAAAAACCTGCCCCGGGCCCGGGGCCAGAACGGTCCACCAGCAAGCAGCAACGACGGGCGAGACCCAGGAGGACAGGCCGGCGGACAGCCAAAGGAGCGGGAAGGGCGAGAGGAGGAGGAGGAGGCGGAGGAAGAGGAGGGGGACCCACGCAGGGCATCTCGGCTGGGCGGCGTGCTGGGCGGGCGCTTCGCCCTGGCACTGCTCGCCCTGCAGTGCAGCATTTCGGCGCCACGAGTCCACGGACGAGGAGCGGGGGCGAGGACAAGGGAGGAGAGGAGGGCGACGACCCGAAGTAGTCGAGCGCTCTGTGCCTCCTCCGCCACGGACAGGCCGCCGGCCTGCGCCGCCAAATTGGCGCCCCCATTCGGCGGAGCGACGAGGCGGGGGGAGGAGGGGGAGGGGGAGAGGCATCACCTGCCGCGGTTACAGTCGCTGTAGAAGATCAGGAAGACAATGACGATCATCTTCCCCTGGCGCCCCGCGGTGTCCGGTAGGCGCCGTCGAACACCGTCGGTACTGGTGTCCCTGGGCCCCCCCGCGCAACGACTGGCACAGGCAGTCGAAGGAGGCGTCAGGTGCCATTTCGCTGTGCCGGATGCACCTGACGGCGATGCACACCGCGTAGATAAACAGCCCTACCTTGCATAGTGTCTCCTTGTCCTTGATGTGGACATTGGTTAGCATGAGAGTGTGGAGGTTGCCGAAGACCGACGCGTCCAGGCTGAGTCTCTGTCGTGTCAACCTGGCTGTGAAAGGGCATCTGCAACAATGCTCCATCGAGCCCTCTGCCCCGGGCGCGCATCCGAGCAGACATCGGTTGGTAGGGGCGTGGCGCTGCTGGAATCGTCGGTGGGTGGTCCACCTGTTCCACATTGTGCTAAAAGCTGCTGGTTGTACCCGCGGCGCCACGATCGCCTTCAGCCGATGTAGCTGCCTGAGAGCCCGAAGAGCCCCGCAGCGCGGCGTACTCTGTAAGACGCCGGTGCCGGGCGGCTGCGGGGAGAGAGCGGCGTTCCAGAGGTGGCGGCTGTTGAGCTTGTGCCGGACGCGCATCACCGTGTGGGGAGCCTCCTTTTCCAAAATGCTTTGTTAGACGGTCTTCTGAAAACTGCACTGGAAGCCCTCGTCGCCCAAGTCCTTCTGTAATATGTGAGCCCCTCCCAATGCGCGCTGAACATAATCCAAGGCCTGTGCGATGTTGAACACGAACGCTTTTTCAAACCGCCCGTGCCAGCCCGCGGCGACGCGAGGGCGCAGCCGCCCCGCGCCTCGAGCGCAATCGAGCCTGCTGGAGAGCTCCCGCAAACGACCGCCAGTGCAGGCCTGGTCAAAGTGGCTCACCCTGCATCTGGCCGCCAGGGCCAGCCAGGCCAGAGAGTGGAATGATTTAGTCATGCCAGACCGCTCTTTGAGAGCGAAGAGGTCCTCGTTCAGGAACCACGCTCTGGGGCCTTTCGCCATCATCCGCAGCGCCTGCGACTCTCGCCTCAGCGTTCCGCCCGGGAATGGCTCCAGCTGCATGATACATGTGAGCACCGACGCGGCGAAGGTGTTGTACACGAGGGCGCTGCTGTGCAGCCCAAAGCAAAGAGGTCGCTCCACGCGAGGCAGCGAACAACGTACATTTCAAAGGGTGATATCCAACTGTCCTCACCTTTCGGGCCAGATCACAACACCGAGATATGTGCCCTTCAGCCTCACTTGAACCCGACCCCATGCGGGGACGTTTTGGGCGAGCCGCCGATGGAACTCCGTCGTGCCCCCGCCGTCCAGGGGAACGACGACGCACTTACCGAGATCGAGTTCAAGGCCAGAGATGAAAGAGAACTCTTCGAACAGGCGTGCCAGCCGGGAGGGGGCCTGCTGGTCAACGTCGTTGAACATCGAGGCGGCGTCGTCCGCGCAGGCGTAGCGCCGAACTACAGGGCAAGCTTCGCAGACCATGTCGAGCAGCACCTCGGCGACGACCGCGCGCAACAAGGGCGACAGGGGGGGCCCTTGCCGCACCCCAGCTGCCACGTTGAAACCCTCGCACGTGCCGCCGCCGACCGCTATTCTGCATGACCCGCTGCTGTAGAGGTGGCGGACCGCGTGCAAGGCGTTGGGGGGCAGCCCGATGTATTCCATGGTCTGGAAGAGATGGTCCTGGGTGATGGACGTGAAGGCTGCCGAAGTCCAGGAGGATGCAAGCCGCATTGTCCTGAGTAAGTGCCGTAAGCATCGAGTCCGTCTCGAGCCCGATGAGGTTGGTGATGATGGAGCGCTGGGGGAGAAAGCCCTGCTGGCGCGGCAAAAATCAAATCCGCGAGGTTGCTCTCCCACTTCTGGCTCCCAGACGGCACGCCTTCTGCGGTTGTTGCAGCTCGCAACCGAGAAGGGCCTCGCCCCCTCTGGGAGGAAGTACAGAAGGTTGCTGCCCGTGGTGCCCGCTGCTTTCTTGGGCAGACAGACCAACGCGCTCAGGTTGAAGGTGTGGTCGAACGCATTGGGCTCGTCGTGATATGCCTCCCTCAGAAGGTGTTCGGCATCTTCGCGCTCGAGCGCCCAAACCACCACAGTGGGGATGTCCACTCCTAGCGGCCCCAATTGACGCCAGGCCTGGAAGGGAGTGCCGTGTGGACCCGGCATGGTGTTCCCACTGTGGGGAATCGCATGCTTGATATCCTGGTGAGCGACTCTCCACTCCCAACTGCGGGTTGGAAGGTGGATCCTCTGGCCACTTTGAGAGCGACCGGAGGTCATGGACAGAGGGCGGCGCCTGCTATCTGGAGCGGGCGATGCCTGTGCGTGCCCAGGTGGGGGTTGCGGTGTTGCTTGCTGCGTTGGGCGTCGCGTGCGTGGTGCACGGGAGTGGCGAGTTTGCTGCGGTGATGTCGATTGGTGATGCTGGTCGTTGAGGTGTGGCAGCGAGGTGAGCCACTGTTGCAAGAGCTTATCATCGATCATCTTGTTGCTGAATACCTTGCTCCATTGTCGCTGAAGAGCTCGGGCGATCTCCTCGGGGGACGTGCGCAATCCGTTCTCTGGGTCCTTGACGGCCTTGACGGCGTCGCTGGCGCCAGGGACCAACCGTTTGAGTTTCTGCAATACGTGTCGTTCCCGGGCCCTCCGGCGCGGGTCGTTTGGCTCCAAAGAGGCGGCCGCGAGGTCACGCATCTCCTCCGTGAGCGACTGGCGAGCTCTAGGGCGTTGTCTTGCAACCGTCGAAATCCTGCCCGGCTGCGCGTTTCGGGGTAGACTGGGTCAACCAACTCACGACTTGTAGGATCATCCGACGGCCTCCTGCGCATCGTCGGGATGTGGATCCTCTCCGCGGCGCGGATGAAGCTGAGGGTGGAGCTGAGCTGGTTTTCGGTGGTCACACCAGGGTTCACCTCCTCCTACTGCTGCATGCTGCATGACACTGTGCGCATGGGCCGCTTAGCCAAAACGAGCCGCCGGATGGCCGTGTCATCGTCGTCATTCTGGCCGTGCCGACGTCGTCGTCGTCTTGACTCTGGCCTGGCTGCGCCGTCGCCCTTCTCGAGCTCCGCCAGGTCCGCCGCCGCCCGCTTCGCCCAGCGTGAATTCCGCAATTGGTGTGAGTTGAGGCTCGGAGCGTCGCCCGGGAGCTTCTCACGCATGCGGCTGGAGAAGCTGATGGGGCGATGGCCCGATAGACGCGTGCGTCCGAGCGCGGTGCACGGCACAGACTTTCCGATCTGCTCGAAGACGTGGTGGCTGCTGTAGATTCGGTCCAAGCGCGCGAGGTGGCGACGGCCGTGAAGCGCGAGGAGGTCCCGCTCGAGCTCCCCGTGGGGTTCGAGGGCAACTCTCTCGAATGCGAGCCTCTCGTTCTCGTCTCTCGCACCTGTCCAGGATCCCGATGTCTTGCACCATCTGTCCTTTTCCCCCGGCACGAAGTTCCAGTCCCCCATGTAGATGCTGAGCATGTCCGCCTGTGGTCTCGTGCCGTGGTGTAGGGTGTCGATGGTTGCCCTTCTGCTTGCCTCGTTTTCTTGCCTGTCGCCGCCCACTGCGAGGTAGGCCGCGAAGAGGTCAAGGTTCCCCAGCGGGCCGGTGAGTCGGAGTACTGCCAGACGCCCAGGTTCCAGCTCGGTCCAACTATCGTCCCCGACGGGGGGAACACTCTTCAAAACGCGGTGCTGCCGCACGAGCCCTGCTCCTGCACGGCGCCCCGACGGATGCGACCAGCACGCTGCCGCCCTGGCGGGGAAACGTCCTGCAAGGACCTTCCCGTCGGTCGCCATGGGTCTCCACGGCGCCGGCGAAGTCGCGGCTGGCCGAGAGCCTCGCGAGGAGGCCGAGTGGTGCTGCAGCACGAGTCCTGCCCCCGCCCGGCGCCCCGACAGATGCGACCAGCACGCTGCCGTCCCGGCGGGGAGGCGTCCTGCCAGGACCTTGCCGTCGGTCGCCATGGGTCTCCACGGCGCCGGCGAAGTCGCGGCTGCCCGAGAGCCTCGCGAGCAGGCCGAGCTCGGCGCTCTGCCTCGACGCCCGGGCAGCCCAAAGCGCCCGCGCATTCCAGGAGCATCCCCGGGCAGTTGCCACTGCAAGGCGCGCGTTAAGTCGGGCGTGTCCCCCTACAAGGGGATTTTCGACGACGAAAACCAAAAAAATGCTCCTACATGGTCAAAGAATCCCCCCCAAAATAGTCCCCATATCATTTTTTGACTATTTGTGGACATTCCCCCTGTAGAGGGACAGGCCCGACTTCAGGCATGCGAGATGGGGCGAGCCAGCGCCCATCGGCGCGGGGGTGCGCGTCGACTGGGGGGTCGGGGAGGGGTGGGGGTGGCGGAGGGCTGCGTAGGGCTACGTCGGAGTGCGACGGGCATCGTCGGGGCGCATCGGCAGGGGGTCGCGGGGTCTTCGCGGGGTCGTCTGGGGCTCGCGGGGGGGCATGGTGGGGTCGTCGGGGGGTCGCCGAGGGGTCGTCGAGCAGTCGGGAAGCAACTGCGGAGGTGGCGGGGGGCTGCGTCGGGCTGCGTCGGGCCGCGTCGTCGGGGTATCATGGGGTCGTCGTGGGGTCGTCTGCGGCTCGTGGGGGGGCCCTCGTGGGGGCCCTCGTGGGGTCGCCGAGGGTTCGTCGGGGGTCGGGGCGTAGATGCGGAGGAGGCGGAGGGCTGCGTCGGGCTTCGTCGGGCTGCGTCGGGCCGCGTCGTCTGGGGGCCATGGGGTCGTCGTGGGGTCGACTGGGGCTCGGAGGGGGGCCCTCGTGGGGTCGCCGGGGGGTCGTCGAGGGATCGTCGGGGGCGGAGCGGGGTCGTCGTGGGGTCGCTGGGCCTCCGGAAGGGGGGCACTGCGACCGGCCTCTCTTCCGCCCTCTCGGCGGCGCTGGCGGCGGTGGAAGAAGCGGACGGTTCTGAATGCGTCGTCGTTTGTTGGAGGGTGCGAGGGTGGCAAAAAACCCAAGCGAGGACAAGCTATCCGCACGGCCAGCATCGCCCCAACTGCAAGCGGGCGAGGGATGCCGGGGAGGGAGGGTGGCAGTGAGCCAGTGCGAGGGCAACCGATCAGTGCGATCAGCGTCGCCGCGTTGAGGAGGGTTGGGAAGGTCGCTGGGCGTGTGTGGGAGGGTTGGGAAGGTGGCGGGCGTTGCATGGAGGGTTGGGAGGGTGGCGGGGGTCTGGGAACTTGGCGTGAAGGGCGCAAAGAAAAAGAGGCAAGCAGCTTGAATTCAATGAGCAACAAATTCGGGCGCCACGAGCGCCGTGAGGGAAGGTCGTTGGATTGTCAATGGTGCACGCCCAGCCCGACGTGGTCCGAGCTGAGGTTGATGGCAGCCACGTGGTCCAGAATTCAGGCTCCACGTCCCTGCACGGTCGCGTGCATCTTCGTCAGCTCCTGGCGGTTGCGCAACTGCACCACAATCTTCCCCGACCAGCCGCCGTCGATTTTCATGATCGGCCGCCAGCGGTGCCAATCCAGTGCCTCCTCCTCTGGCGGAGCTCGAGCTGGCAAGCGTCGCCGACGCACTTCATGACGTGCGGCATCCAGAGGTTGCATGGGCCAGAGGGCCCGAGCGGCAGCTCAATCGTCACCCTCAGGGAGTCCAGGCGCGCATCGTCGGGCCCTTCTGCATGGAGGGCCATGTTCCGGGCCACCGCGGTCTGGTTTTGAGTGGCTTGGATCCCCGCGATCGTCCATGGCGCCCTGTCTGAGGGGCGGCGCTTGAGTTTCTCTGCTGCTGCGGCGGGGTCCCGGACCCACTCCCCGGTGAGCCTGGTGCTCCAGTCCTCTGCCGTGCGGTGCGTCTCCACAAGCAGCAGCCTGTTGGGCATGACCAGCGCGTTGGTGCAGAGGTCCCGGAGGCTGTACCCCGCTTTTGCGCTATTCGTCTCGACCAACCTCGCGGTGCTGCTGCTCATCGTCCCCACCTGCCCCACCACCGGCCAAAAAGGGTCCAGGACGCGCCAGAGCCAGTGGATGATCGTCTCGGACGCGAAGGTATCCTTGATACCTGTCTGGAAGTGGATCTGGATCATCGCCCGGCGCGTGGAGCGTGTAGAGCCAGGGCTGATGGTGGGCGGGTCAATGTGGAGAAGCTGGGGTAGGCTGAGCGAAGGGAGGAGTTTGTATACATCCCATGTGTTCTGGTCTGGTAGGTCGATCCGGATAGTAGCGCCTGCCTCGAATGTAAGAAGTCGCCGCCTTTCCAATCGATCAGCCTGAGGTCGCACTGTGGAGTGGGCATGCCTATCCGGACGATCGCCAGCTGTTTCTGGCAGTGGATGGGCGCGTGCTTGCCTGAGAAAATAACGTTCCCTGGGGGGTAGAGCACCTGAATGTCAGAGATGGCCTTACTCCAGCTGCCCTACAAAAGGGGGTGCGTCCACACACCTGTGAGGTGCGCCGCAGTGCGGCAACCCGGCAGCGCGTCGATCGGTATAGCGATGGACACGGCCTGTTGTAGCACACCTGCCTCTGCACACGCGCGACTGGCCCCGGCCAGCTTCAGGAGTTGCCCCTGGTCCAGAGGTGTCCAGATGAGGATCGGCTTCGCCAACCTCTGGAGCGCAGCCTTGATCGCGGGGGCGTCGCCGAGGAAGGGGACGTCATCAGCTCGCGCGCGACCGCATCAGGCAACGGAGTCTGCGTGCAGCTCTGGTCACGCTGAAGCGCGCCGCTCAGCTGCCATGCGGCCTGGGTGTTCGGCGGCAGGGCCCCGCCCGTGCAGAGGCACCTCCAGGAGGCCGGCGCCGACTTCCTGCCAGCGGGGGAGCGAGTTGGGACCCCGACTTCCTGAGCAGGCGGCGTGCTCGTGGCCGACTCTCGAGGTTGTCCTCGGCTTCCTGTACCGCGAGCTGGAAACCGTCGCAAAGGTCACTCGACCCGCCCTTTCAGGGCGGCATTGGTGCCACCGAGCCGGTCCAGGAGCTTGATCGCCCACGCTCCGCGCATCTCAGCATCCTCCACGCGGAGAGCGGGCCCATCGCCACCGGCGAGACCCAACTTGTCCAGTCCAGTAGCGCCCTTGAGGTCGTACGCGTAATTGGGCGGAGAGCAGCTGGTGCATGGGGCTGGATGTCCGTGGCTGCCTCGAGCTCTCTGATGGTGGGGAGGTGAAGGTTACCGCCGACCGCTATCACCGCCCTGGATCCACTCCTGCTGTCGACACACCCCGCTGGAGGAGGAGGAGGACGAGGAGGAGGAGGACGAGGAAGAGGAGGAGGAGGAGAAGGAGGAGGAGGAGGAGCAGGAGGAGGAGCAGGAGCGGGAAGAGGAGGAGACCAGTGTAAACCCAAGAGTCATCAACGATGTCCTGCAGGGTGGTGCCGAAGTTCGTGCTGGCCGCTGCTGCGGTAGGGTCGCCCCGGGGCGCTGCTGCGGGCACGGCGGAGGCAGCGCCGGGCGCGGCGGCGGCGCCGGCGAGGGCCGGGAGTCCAGGAGGTGCGGGTGCAGCGACGGATGGAGGTGAAGCCGAACCCCCATGGCTTCTCCATGGAAATCGTGACGGTCCCGCACGAAACATCGACGCACGCCCTGGGGTCTCGGGATCGAGTCTCTTGTGGAAGGTTTCCTGTGGAGGGGCCTCCACTCCAGGCTGGCCTTGGCGTTTGAGCCGCGTCGGCGGTAGCGTTCTCGGGATTCTCGTCTCCCGCGGGGGCGGCCGGCCCAGCCCCCCGGAGCCGGAGTGCCAGCCACAGGGTGGCGTCCTGGGAGATGCGGAGGCCCGACAGGGTGTGCCTGTCCTCCAGCTGGCGCCCTGCATAGAGCAAGCGCTGGCAGGCAGGGGGGATGCGCTCCTCGTCTTGGATCTGCACCTTGACGCAGTCGATCGTGTCGTATGCCGTCACGTCGAGCGTGAGGGTCTTGCCTGTGAGCGTCTTCGCGAAAATCCGCATGGTCCTCTTGGTAACAGTGGTGCTGGTGGCAGTGCTGGAGTCATGGTCGGCGTCACTGTCAGAGTGAATACTGGATATGGTACTCGCAGCAATGCGTTCATGGGAGCTGGCGTCAATATTGCAGCGTGTGCAGGCCTGGAAGCTGGCATCAGTGCTGTCGCCGATGCCGTCGTCGCGGAGGTCTCCGACTTGCAGGACGTGGCACGGTCGTTGCTCGTGCGCTGTGCAGGTCTCCCTCTCTAATCCGAGCGGCACCTCGTACTCGGTGTCGGCTTCGGCGCAGATCGTGGCGGCGCGGGCGTCAATGCTGGCGTGGGTGCTAACGTTGGCGCTGGCGTCGATGGTATCGTGGGTGCTGGCGTCGGTGTTGTCGCGGATGATGGCGTTACAGCTGGTGTTGCTGTTCCCATCGATGATGCCGGCGTTGGTGTGGACATCAGTGCTGAAAACGGCATTGGCGAAGTGGTCGTGGTGGGAGACGTCGTCGAGGTCGCCGGCCTGGTCGTAGCCACTGTGGTCGTCGTTGTCGACGTGGTCCGCGGAGTCGAAGTGGTCGTAGTCGTGGCCGTGGCTGTAGCTGAGTTCCTGCGCAGGCGCCTGGAAAGGAATACAAGATTCCTGGCCTTCCTCGTGCTCCGTCCCAGCCTCCATCCCCTCCTCCTCTTGCTCCTGGTCCTGGCCCTCGTCAGGGCCCTCTTCTTTCTCCTCTTGAATGTGCTCCTCGGAGTCCTCGGCCTGGTCCTCATCTTGCTCCTTTCCCTGATCCTTTTCGTCGTGGTCCTCGCAGTGCCACGCTGCGTCATAGGTCTTGATGTTGTCATCGATCTGCCCGAACCCCGAGGGGGCGTGAGCCACGACGTCGATATCCGGCACCTCGTCTCGACGTCGCAGTCCAAAATGCTGCCGGATGTAAGGTCGGGGACGTCCTCTCTGATCATAGTGTCCGGCAGGGTAGCCATCGCTGCAGCTTCTAGGTTTGGGGAATTCAGAAAGAAGGTGTACGAAATGGAGGAGGTTGGGGCTTTTGAGTTACTGCTGCTTGAGTGGCTGCTTGAGTGGCTGCTTGAGCCGGTGACTTGAGCCAACATGTTTTCTAGCGAAGCCTTCTCCGAAGACGTAGACGGCGTCTCGAAAGGCCAGAGGACATCTGAGAAGCCCCAAGTCATTCCGAGAAGGCCTGCCCTCTCCCACTCCCCCCCTGGCGCGCCGAGAGCATACGGTAGGGAACTGTTGCTCAGTGTGTCGCTGCGGCGGTCCCAGCGACACGCTATGCCTTTCGAGTGGATGGCGTGGCGCTCCGCTCCGCGGGGCGTGAGGCCGGGAAAGACTCAGGACGTTGACGCTTGGGGACCGGGACGCGGATAGCGTGTCGCGCCAAAGCGTGGTGGGCACCAGAACTGGCGGCGCGACACGCTAAGTTGGAATCGACCCTGCGGCTGCTGGTTCTCAGCTTTGGGGAATGCCTTCCAACGTCCCTCGTCGTTTTTTCTCAACGGCGGTACCCTGAAAATGCATCCGTCCTACTGCATCCTGCCTCGTCGTCGCCTTCCTCCTCCTCCTCCTCCTCCTGCTAATCCTCCTTCCGACCTCCGTCCCCCTCCTCCTCCCCTTGCCCCTCCTCTTTACGTGCCCGGGGGGAGTCTTGGTCGAGGTCTTCCCGTGGTTCCTGGGATCTGCTGTTCTCTGGCCACGCACGGTGCAGTGCGAGGGAAAGTGCGCGAGTGCAGGCGCCACTCCCGCGGTGGTGTCTCGACTCGATCACCCGTGCCCAGCTCCACTCCATGGGGGGGAGAGAAGTGGAGAGGGCCTCGCAGGGCTGAACCTGAACGGTGCCTTTCGTTTCCGTTTTGCTTTCGTTTTCCCTCGTGTTGTCTTCAGTCCACCTCTCTACCGCAAAACGCAGCCGAGACGAAAACGGCCCACGAAATCGCCAGAACACCGTTCGGGTCCGGCCCTGGGGCCTCGTGGCTCCAACCGGCTATAGCTGGGCCTCCCTGCCGCCGAAGGCCGAAGAAAACCCACTCGTAGAGCAACAGCCAAGCACAGCACCACACACGACTTCTTGGCGGTCCTGTCTGAAACAATTCAGAAGTTGATGACTTTGATTTTCTGTGTTAGTCGCTTCCTCCCGCCTTCCTCCCCCTTCCTGATACACGACTTCTTGGAGGTCCTGTCTGAAACAATTCAGAAATTGATGACTTTGATTTCTGTGTTAGTCGCTCTTTCCCGCCTTCCTCCCCCCTTCCTCTCCTCCCCTCCTTTCCTTTTTCCTCCTGCTGCCGGCGTTCGTGTCGCCGTCGGCCGCCGTGTCCCTTCCGCGTCCTCTCCTTCTCCTCCACCCCCGGCCGCCCGCCGGTGCCTTGGATCGGCGCTGGACCCCCCTCCCCTCACGCAGCGGCACGAGCACACGACTTCTCGGAGGTCCGCGCGGCTTTCTTGGACCTGCGCCGGACCTTCCTGGCGCGCGGAGCAACCCCGGAGAGGCGCCGGGGACGCCGCGCTGGGGGGGGGGGCCAACGCCAACCCGAGAGATCGCAAGGGCCTCCGAAAAGTCATGCGCATGCCTTGCGTGTTCGTCGCAACCAACCCCCCCCACCCTCCAGAGGGCAGAAAGTCCCCCCCCATAACAAGCAACCCGACGAGCGAAGCCGTCCTAGTAAAAGCGCACACGGGGAAGGAATCGAACAGGGCAGGGCAGCATAGTAAACGCCAAAGGCCGCTTAGTAAGCGCCAGTTGTCGGGTCTGGGTGGGTTTTTCTCCCTTGACCCTTCCACTTGAGGCTGGCATTGGAGGTACGTGTGCCCCAGTCCGAATGCTACTTCTCAAGCAATCGTGTCTCCAAGGGTCGCCTCTGTCCCTGACAGTACTACGCAAGGCCAGCATGCCTTGGCCACGGGCTCAACGGACGCAGGAGCACGGTGTTCTACTCGTGCCTGCGTCGCACCGCCTCCGCCTCCCCCTCTCGCTTCCCTGAGAACCAGACGCTGCACGTTTGTCCAACTGGGCGTTTTCGCCCGGCTGCCAGCCTCGGGGTCGTTACAGATGGATGCGGCTCGGCAAGTCCCTTCTGCGGCGAGGGCCGCCGCGAATATCAAGTAATACTTGTGCATAGGATAGGCTTCGTTTGAAGTTACGCTAGGGGGATGCAGGCGCATGCTGGAAGCGTTCGAGTTACATGACAGCTGTCTCTCGGGCGACGATGGCTTGATGGGCTTGCGACCGACATCCACCGTCTAAGCATGTCAACGCAGACGCTCCCTGCGCAAAGGTGCTGCCATCCTACTCCAACTCTTCGACCCATATTGTCGCCACTCCGCCACTGTTTGTGCAGCCGCGCTCGGGCAACACTGCCGACCAGGGCCCGATCAGTCGGCAGCCAACGAGTCGAGCATCTCCCTGATGAGCAGGGGCCAGGTCTCGAAGGCATCCTTCCAGGGTCGTTGCGGGAAGCCGGCGGATTAAGGGGGTCCAAAAGAAGAGCGGACAAAAACCACGCTGCCGACTGAATCAGCCGACGAAGCCTTGGGCGGATAACCCGAATGAGGGCCCGCCACCAAACATCCCGGGCGGGGTCTCTCCATTCCACAAATTTCAAGGACAGGTGCTGGCCCCTCCTCTCGAGCGTGCCCAAATGAGAACATCACCTTTCCGCCTCAGTGGACGTCCCATCACAATCCGCAGCTCATGTTGACACGACTCGTCGAGCTGAGTCCAGCCGCAGCGAGGACAGGTCCCCAACAAAACAAATACGTAGCACCTCGCAGTTGCGGAGAAGAGTGCGGGGGCGGCGGGGGCGAGGCTCTGAAGAAGCCTGGCGCAGGCGCCGATATTTTTGACAAAGCAATGTGGGTTGGTCGCGGGGTGGGTCGCGGGTGGGTCGCGGGTGGGTCGCGGGTGGGTCGCGGGTGGGTAGCGGGCAGGGTCGCGGGTGGGTCGCGGGTGGGTCTCGGGTTGGCCGCGGGTGGGTCACGGGTTAGGCGCGAATGGGTCGCAGGTGGGTCGCGAGCTGGGTCGCGAGCCGGGTCGCGGGTGGGTCGCGGGTGGGTCTCGGGTGGGTCGTGGGCTGGGTCGCGGGCGGGTCACTGGCCGGGTCGCGGAGGGGACGACAACAACAAACAGACAGCAACAACACCAACAACAACAACCAACGACAACAATCACCATCATTTGAATACTGTTCGCTCTTGTCTGCTCGCGGGCCACTCCACACCACGTATATCCCAGCCACTCGATACCCGCCTTCTTCATCTTCCATCCTGCCCCCTCAAACCCCGACTTCCATCAAATCAAAGTGAGGGGGCTGAGCGGTCATTCGCTGTCCCTGTGTGAGTGGCTGAAGTGGGGTTCCGCGGTGCGGATGTTTGTTGCGTTGTAATTGCTGCTGCTGTTGTTGCTGCTGTTATTGTTGGTGGTGGTGTTGGTGTTGTTGCTGCTACAGTTGTTGATATTGTTGCCGGTTGTGGTGGTGGTATTGGTGTTGGTGTTGCTGCTGCAATTCTTGTTGTAATTGGTGCCATCGAGATACCGATTATGATTGTTGACCCCCCTCTGGTAATCAGTGTAGTTTTCAATGCACACGATTGTCCCCGAATTCGCACCGTGCTTTCATCCAAGGAAAAGTGAGGTGTCACCAAACTGGGCCCCTGGCCAACCCGTTTACAGCAACACCGGTTCCCGCCTGATACTTCCTCACAATGTTGTCCCAAATGGCGCTCTCGCGCGGGAAGTCCTCACACTGCATATGAGATTCGCACTCTCGCGTGGGACTCCCTCGCACTTTATTCAGACGCCGCGCCCTCGACACTCAGGAATCATGCTCTCGCTGTGGACTTCCTCAAAATGTATTTGGAAATCGCGCCATCGTTCGAGACTTCTTCGCGATTCATGCAAGACGCACGCTTCAATAACCCGCCTGCTTGACCTGGCCGCCTGGGCCCGCCTTCCCGACCCGCCCGTTAGGGTCTACCCGCCCGATCTGCCCGTCCGGATGTGCCACATGTGTTCTGCTCCTAGCCCCCCTCCCGCTACTTTCATGCTCCAATCTCCTCCCTGCCCATTGCCTCTTCCGTCCATCCGTCCTCTCTTCCCCTATCTTAGGAGCTGCATGAAATATACGGTGCAGATATTATATATGTACATGTATATGTATATGTATGTGTGTATATATATACACCCCAAAATGGGCACGATCGAAAACGAAAAGGACGAGTATCGAGGGTTTGGGATCTAGTTGTTGAATAGCCAGCGAACAGATAAACACGAACAGCCTTAACATGACTGTTGTTGGTGTTGGAATTGTTGTTCGGCTGTTGTTGTTATTGTTTTAGTTGTTGTTCAACTCTCACTACCGACGAAAGACATGTATTGTTGATCACCCCCCTGCGGTGACCATTACTTGTTCAATTGAAGTGTTTCCCTTGGGGCTCGCACCCAGTTTTTTCCAGGGGAAGCCACGGGCCTCAAACTGGGTTGTTGGTCCCCGTATTACAACATCAACGGCTCCCACTTGAAACATTCTCACAATTTAGCCAAGACCCCCGCTCCCGCCTGCGCCGCCCTCGCATTTTACTCAGGAGTCGTGCTCTCGCTTGGGACTGCCTTTCGTTTTATTCGGGATCGCTTTCTCGGCGCCCTGGAACAGCGCTCTCGCTGGAGACTTGCTTGCAATTCACTAGAGAATCGCGCTCTTGCGTTGGAGTTCCCCGCGATTTATTCAAGCGCCGCGCTCCCGACACTCAGGCACGCAGGAGTCGCGCTCACGCTCAGGACCCCCTCGCAACTTAATTAGACATCGGAATATCGCTGCCCTTCGTGGCCGCGTTGCACCACTTCGTGGACACCTCGATGCCCTTCGCGGCCCCGTCGTGCCTTCGTGCCCCCCTCGCTGTCCTTCATGGCCCCGTTGTACCACTTCGTTGCCCCCTCGCTGCCCGTCGTGGCCCCGTTGCATTTCTTCGTGGCCCCCTCGGTTCCCTTCGTGGTCTTGCAGCCCTTCGCGGCCCCCTCGCTGCCCTTCGCGGCCCCTCGCTGTCCTTCGTGGCCCCCTCGCTGCTCTTCGTGGTCCCGTTGCACCCCGTCGTGCCCCCCTCGCTGCCCGTCGTGGCCCTGTTGCAGCCCGTCGTGGCCCATCCGCTGCCTTCAATGGCCCCGTTGCAACCCTTCCTGGCCCCCTCGCTGCCTTCCGTGGCCCCATTGCGCCCCTTCGTTGCCCTCTCGCCGCCCTTCGTGGCCCCATATATGCATGCGCTTCGTAGGCCCCACTGCCCATATATGCATGCGCTTCGTGGACCCCATCTATGCATGCGCTGTCGCCCTTCGCGGCCCCCTCGCTGCCCTTCGCGGCCCCGTTACTGCCCTCAGCGGCGCCGTCATTGCCCTCTGCGGCCCAATACGCGCATGCCCTTCGTGGCCCCCACTCGTTCGCGCCCGTCGTGGCCCCATACGCGTGACATTCGTGGCCCCGCCGTCGCCCTTTGCGGCCCCCTCGCTGCTCTACGTGGCCCCGTTGCCACCCTCAGTGGCCCCGCCGCTGCCCTCGGTGGCCCCGCATTATCTGCGTTTCGTGGGCCCCGCTCGTCCGCGCCTTTCGTGGCCCCATACACGCGCCCTTCGTGGCTCCGCTGTCGCCCTTCTTGGTCCCCTTTTCTGCCCTTCGTGGCCCCGCTGTCGCTCTCGTTCTCGCTCTCGCTCTCGCTCGTCGTCGTCGTCGGCGCCGTCGCCGTCGACGTCGTCGTCGTCGCGGTCGGTCCCCTGTCCGTCCCTCTTGGGGTCGGGCTGCCGCCGATCAGCGCAGCGCTGCCGCTGGCCAGGCTGACGGTCCGTGGCCGCCCCGCCGCTTGCTGGGGGCCCGGCCTGCAGGGAAAATACATAGTGCCTCAGAAAAGTACGATCGAAGACGACGAGGGCGGGTATCGAGGGTTTGGGACATACACGCTGACGGACAGTCAAGCAGATAAGAACGTTGTCGTTGTTGAACATTATTACTTCTAAAGAATAATTATTGTTGGGACCCCTGGTGCACGACCCCCCCGCCGCGCCTAGGCCGCAGCCACGTTTTCATCATTTTCGTGAGGAAGTCTCAGGCAAAACGGGTTGGTCCGGATCCGGTTGTGTTGTTACGATCGGTTTTCCCTTGCAAAAAATAAGCTAAAGTGGACATTTCTTGTTCTAACATAACCAAACTTCAAGAATCCCTTGCAAAAAATAAGGTAAAGTGGACATTCGCGCGCGCAAGACGAAATCCTTCCAAAACCTTAGTTTTCGTAGCGATTTTAACATAAAAACATCAAAAAAACCAATGGTTTTTCAAAAAAAATGTCAAAATTTCATCCCGCGCGCTCTTGCGGATTCGTAGGAAACCCAACACTTTTTAAACATTTCTGTCAAACGGGCTTTTGCGAGCAACTTTTTCGAACTTCTGCAACAACGGTTGCGCACCTGCCAGGGCCATCATCCCTGTCAAATAATACCATGCGGGACACATTCGTTTTTTCTTCGCGCGCGCACGCCGTCGTCGTCGGCCGCGGGGCCCTGAATAGTAGCCACGGTCGTCCGCATGCCACGAAGTGAAGTGTCCGAACGTCATAGGGCGGGAAGCTGGGTGTGGGTGGTGGCGAAGAGTCGTTTGGAAATTTGGTAGAGCTTGAACCGGCCCCCCCACAAAGTGGGGGTATTGCCCGCCTCCTATGAAAACCCTGGCACTGGTGAGAACGGAGTGTCCCCACGTGCTAGTAATTGTTGTTGTTGTTGTTGTTGTTGTTGTTGTGGTGGTTCGTGTTGTTGTTGTTGAATAATTCTCATTTATGAAAATAATTCTTGTTGATCCCCCCACCCCTCACGAGGATCGTGGCCTCCGAGGGGGGAGCCGCAATCGACTACCCCCAAGAGCCCCCCAAGAGGCCCTGGGGGCCTCCAAAACGCCGCCAAGGAGCCCCAAGAGACTCCCAAGAGGTCCCCAAGAGGCCCCCAAGAGGCCCTAAAGAGGGCTCCAGGGCCGGCGGCATGAGCGAAGCGATTAAATAATTCTTGTTGATCCCCCCACCGGTGCATACTGCTTTTTCTCAATCAAACTGTGCCCCTCGACGCTCGCACCCGGTTTTTTGATAGGGAAAGTCTTCGTGTTCAAACTGGGCCCCTGGCCCCCGGGTTACAACAACAACGGCTTCCGCCTGAGACTTCCTTACAATTTAGCCAGGACCCCCGCTCCCGCCCGAGACGTCCTCGCATTTGATTCAGGAATCGCGCTCTCGCTTGGGACTTTCTTACAATTTATTCAAGAATCGCTCTCCCGGCGCTCTGGACTCGCGCTCTCGCTGGAGACTTGCTTGCAACTTACTGAAGAATGGCCTTGCGTTGGAATCTCCTGCAATTTGCCCAGGCGCCGCGCTCCTGACACCCAGGCACCCAGGAGTCGCGCCCGTTGTGGCCCCATGTGCATGCCCTTCGTGGCCCCGCTGTCGCCATTTGTGGCCCCCCCACTGTCCTACGTGGCCCAGTTGCTACCCTCAGTGGCCCCATAATTGCCTTCTGTGGCCCCGCATTATCTGCACTTCGTGGCCCCCGCTCGTTCGCGCTCTTCGTGGACCCATACGCAATCCTTCGTGTCCCCGCTGTCGCCCTTCGTGGCCTACTTGGTGCCCTTCGTCGTCGTCGCCGCCGTCTTCGACGTCGTCGTCGTCGTCGTCGTCGTCGTGGTCGGTCCCCTGTCCGTCCCTCTTGGGGTCGGGTCGACGGTCCGCGGCCGCCCCGCCGATCAGCGCTGCCGCTGGCCAGGCCGACGGTCCGCGGCCACCCCGCCGCTTGCCGGGGCCCGGCCTGCAGGGAAGAAAGGTATACCCCCCAAAAGGGGCTCGATCGGAGACAAAGAGGGCGGGTATCGAGGGTTTGGGAAATACGCGTTATTGGACACTCGAGCATATAAGGGCGAACGGTCTTGAAATTATTGTTGTTGTTGTCGTCGTTGTCGTCGTTGTTGTTGTTGTTGTTGGTGTTGTTGTTGTTGTTGTTGAACTCTCGTTTCTGGTGAATAATTACTGTTGGTCCCTCCTCACCGGTGCAAGCTGTTTTTCTCACTCAATGTGTTCCCTTCGACGCTCGCACCCTGTTCTTGACAGAGAAAATCTTGGTGTTCAAATTGTGCCCCTGGCCCCCCAGATTACAACAACAACGGCTCCCGCCCGAGACTTCCTCCAAATTTACTCCGGACCCCGCTCCGGAGAGACTTCTTCACAATTTACTCAGGATAGGTGCTCCTGCTTGTGACGTCCTCGCAATTTAGTCGTTACACCCGCTCCCATCTGAGATTTCCGCACAATTTACTCAGGAACGGCGCTCCCGCTTGAGACTTCCTCGCAATTGAGTCGAGACTTCCTCGCAAGTTCATTAAGTTTAAGACCCCCGCTCCAGCGAGAGAACCCCTCACATTCTATTCAGGAGTTGCGCTCTCGCCTGTGACTTCCATGCAATTAATTAAGACATCGCGCTTTCGACGCTCAGGAAACACGCTGCGCCAAAGACGCCGCTACAATTTATTTGGTAATCGCGCTCTCGCCATACTCAGGCATCCGCTTGAATGTCCCACCCGCCTGACCCGCCCGTCAGGGGATCGCCCGCCCGTCGTGGGTTCCCGCCCGAGACTTCCTTCAGGAACGACGTTTTCGCCTAGGACTTCCTCGAACGTTCACGCTCTTACCTTCCTGGCAGCCGGAGGGGATCGGCTGGCCCCCCGCAGAAAACGACCACGATGAGGGAGCAGAGACACATGCGCATCTACGCCCTTCCCGCGCGCTCCCACGTGCCCGAGTGACCGCGCTCAGGCGCTGGCCAGCGGAGGCTGACCGCGCACGTGTGCGTCTGGTGTTGGCCTCTGACACGAGGCTTTGGAAGTCCCGAGTCCACGGATGACGGCCCCGGGAGGCCACGAGAGGCCCCCGGGAAGCCTCCCGGGGCACCCTGGAGGCACCCTGGAGGCCTCCTGGAGGCCATGGCGAAAACGGGAACAAGGATCTGAATCCACGACGCTCCTTGTGGCCGACCCCCCATTTGTAGCGCGCCCCGGCGAATGACGCAGGGTGTTCGCTGACGGGGAGGAATCAACGTGTGGTGAAGCAAGGTGCGCCTCTCGTGCACCTGTTGGGCCCGCACTGGCAATCGGGGGCCCCTCCAGGGACACTTCCCTGCAATCATCGACCTTTCACACGTTCATGGCCCCCCCGTTGCCGCCCGCTCGCCGAAATGGACAGCCCCGAAGGGCGCCTCCAGCGCAGCCAGCGCGGGGCCGCCCGGCGGTCCTGGAAGCTCTGCGCCACCGCCAGCCTGGCCCCAGGAATGATGGCCGCAAGGTCCTCCGCCGCCTGTAATGTGTGTGTGTGTGTGTGTGTGTGTGTGTGTGTGTGTGTGTGTGTGTGTGTGTGTGTGTGTGTGTGTGTGTGTGTGTGTGTGTGTGTGTGTGTGTGTGTGTGTGTGTGTGTGTGGTGTGTGTGTGTGTGTGTGTGTGTGTGTGTGTGTGTGTGTGTGTGTGTGTGTGTGTGTGTGTGTGTGTGTGTGTGTGTGTGTGTGTGTGTGTGTGTGTGTGTGTGTGTGTGTGTGTGTGTGTGTGTGTGTGTGTGTGTGTGTGTGTGTGTGTGTGTGTGTGTGTGTGTGTGTGTGTGTGTGTGTGTGTGTGTGTGTGTGTGTGTGTGTGTGTGTGTGTGTGTGTGTGTGTGTGTGTGTGTGTGTGTGTGTGTGTGTGTGTGTGTGTGTGTGTGTGTGTGTGTGTGTGTGTGTGTGTGTGTGTGTGTGTGTGTGTGTGTGTGTGTGTGTGTGTGGGGGGCCCCAGATGGGACGCAGGCAAGGAGAGGTGGTCCGCGAGTCCCTCCGTTCACGTCGTCATCCGGCTCTCCCGTTCACGTCGCTCTCCGTCCTGCCTCCCTCCTTCCCCCTCCTTCCATCCCGCTCCCTCCCTCCCTCTCCCTCGTCCTCCCTCTCCTGGGCATCGCCACTGCAAGAAACTGAACACAGGCACTGCAGAGATCTTCCTCGGCGCACAGACGCCGTCGGGAGCCGAGTGTCAGAAGACGAGAGTAAATGTCAACGTCAGCTAGTCAGTCGAAGCATCTTGGCTGCATGCTGGACGCAGTCTTGCAAAGGCGAGGGGGAGGGGGTCCACGCCACTTTGAAAGAGAGACGCTCTTCCCTACGACCGCCTCCTCGTCCACCGCGCACCTACACTTCTCACCCAGCTCTTCCCGATCGTTGTTCTCGGCGTCGTTTTCGCCATCCTTCTCCTCCTCCACCTCCTGCTCGTCCTCGTCGTCGTTTTCTCGACGAAGAAAGAAAAGCACAGGCTGCCGTTGCACGAACTGTGACCACTGCCATTTAGAAGCAGGGTGGTCTCCAAGGGCATTGTGCTGCCTGCACGGGGTGCTCGGCATCGCCAGGAACAGCAAGTACGAGAACTGGAAGCTGCAAGCCTTCGGGGCACTCGGAACAGCCAAAACAGCCTCAAATCGCGACACACATCACGCACTTAGACACCATGGGCGCTCCAAAGGCCTCCAGCTGGCGCTCAAAGCGACTACGGGGAGCCTCGATGTGGCATTTCATCTCATGCACTGCGTGCCCCAGGAGACCACAGATGCTCCAAGTGAGCCTCTCCAAAAGGCCCTTGGGAGTCCCAATCCGGGACACTCCTTGCGCACTTCCATTGAGGCTCGAGGGCTTCTAAACATATTGAAACAATCGGCACCGACTCTCGTCGAAGCCGTGGCCGTGCCCCCGACCACTCACTGGCCAGGGGGACAAAGGTGGGGTAGGGCTAGAGGTGGGGATGGGAGGAAATCTGCTCCAAACGGTTCCTCGAAAAAGACATCTGGGCATCCAGTTCGCGGCTGGGTCGGATACCCAAGTGCGATCTCGGCTGAAGCCCTACACGCCGCCCCGCTGGTCCTGGGGAGGCTGTGCTTCCAGCGGAAGGGGACGAGGAGGAGAGAAGCAGGCGGAAGGGGACGAGTTAGGTTCGTTCCCTAGCTCCACCTTGGGATAGATTTCCCTCCGCGAACTCCCGAACTGCGTTGCAACTTCCCCTCGGGGGGGGAGGCCGCCGTGACTCCCGCTCGGCGGGCTTGGCTCGGCACCCCATCCCCCTCCCCGCTCGCCTAGGCGCAGCGGGGGCAGGGCCGCGCGAGCCGAGCTGGACTCCGATACGCCACCGAAGTACGCAGGAACAATTCATTGGAGGGCGTATCTGTGTATATTTTTGTGGCGGACCCGATGAGTTTGCGAATTTGGAGAGAGCGATGGAGATTGCATGCGGGACGCAAGCTGGCAACGGCCTCCCGCGTTCCGCAAAACATCGTCGGGAGATCCGCAAGGAAGCATCAGCCCGGCACACCCTCGCGCTCCTCGTGCTTCACAACTCTCTCGACTCGCCGAGCCGACCACTCAGAACAGCTCAGGGGCGCTTCGGATTGACACACCCCTCACGCCGCACGTGCTCAATGGACCCCGAAGACGTGCTCAGCTGGACCCCTTAAGACGTCTAAAAGGAGCTTGCTTCTGGCACACCCCGCACTCACTGCGTGCTTCGTGGCTGCTCATAGGCAATGAGCGGGCACCAAAGACGGCGCACAGGGCCTCCAATTCGGCACAGCCCCAGCGCACCCCGTGCTTCATGGACACCACGGCGCCTCGGTGAGCTCCAAAGGCAGCGGCTTCCCCCCCTCCAAGGGATGCCAAGACGGCGCCACTGAGTGTTACCCACTTTCGTCGAAGCCATAATTATCCCCGAACACCCACTGACTCCCCCCGGGAAGCACGCCGTGTCTCCCGCCCTGCAGGCAAAACACGGCGAGCCCCCTGCGGGCCCGGGCCGTGTTCGGCGCCTACGTAAGCGCTTGGCGCAGCAAGACGAAGCCGCACAGGCCAGGCAGACGGGAAGGCCTGCTGCAGCCTGAGCCGGCTACTTTGACACCTGCAGGAGGATCTTATGGGGGCGCAGGCCGCGAGTCACGGCGCCACCCCCCGTTTCTCAGAGACTTCTCAGCGGGCCCATATGGCTCAAGACGGCTCCAGGACGCAGCTGTCCCCAGGATGGGCCCCAGACGGCTCCAAGATGGGCCAAGATGGGCCCACGAGGCCCAGAAGGCGCCCAGAAGAGGGCTCCGAGAGGACCCTCACAAAGATGCCCAGATGCAACAATCATTGATTCCCCAGCAGGTGTTTTCGAGCTTCCGGCACTCAAGGACGGCCGAGAGGCCCCCAAAGACTGCCCCCACGATGCCCCAAGAGGGCCCCAGAGCCCAGAGAGGCCCAAGACGGCCCAAGAAGGCCGCAAAACGGACCGAGGAGCTCCAAAGACGGCCGCAGATGGCCCCAAGGAGGGACCTCGATGGAGGAACGCGGTCCCTCATGCCAGGTTATCCGCTAAAAGGGGCTCCCAAGAGCCCCCTCGAGAGCCCCCAGCAGGGCCCCAGAGCCCCCTCGACAGCCCCCCTCGAGAAACCTCCATCGAGAGCCCCCACAAAGCCCACAGGAGGCCACCAGGAGGCCTCACGAGAGTCCCCCCAGGGTGCCGCGGCATCGCCGCGGCATGGCATGACCCGAAGGACAGCGCGCGGCCTCCCGCGGGCCCTCGCCGTGTCGGACTCCCGCGGGTCAAGGGAAACGGCCGGAAGGCCTGCTGCAGAGCGTGCAGGCTCAGCCCACAGTCAACCCGCAGGGTAAGGATGCGCGGTAAGGATGCCAGGGGCCTTGGAGGCCCATTTCGAAGCTTCCCGAGCAGGGCGCGGCCAACGAAAGTGTCCAAGGATGGACCCAGGAAGCAAGGATGCAAGGGTACCCTTGGGAGGGATGCCTATCCCTACTCTGCGGGTCGACTGTAAGTCTGGACGGGGTCTCTCAGATGGCCGGCAGTGGGAGCAGGCCTGCATGGGAGGAGGGAGGAGGAGGGAGGAGTAAGAGGGAGGAGGAGGGAGGAGGTGGAGAAGGAGGAGGCGAATGAGGAGGAGGGGGAGGAGGAGGAGGATGAGGAGGAGGAGGAGGAGGAGGAGGAGGAGGAGGAAGAGGACGTAGGGAGCAGGCCTGCATGGGAAGCTTGGGCCTGAGTCTGCAGGCCAGCACGGGGAGCGCGAATCGGGTTCTACGAGGGGCGCAGCGCGCGAGTCACGGGGAGACCCCCGGCACCCCCCCTGCCTGAAGGGGCCCTGGGACACACAACTAACTACACACAAATAAAAAGATTCCCCATCTTTTCCTATATTTTCTTCTGGGTTTTTGTCTTCCCCCCCACTTCCCGTACTGTCCCATATTTTCTTGGGAATCGACGATGAAATTGGTCTGTGTTTTTTCCCTTCTGACTATCCTCATGCAGGCTCAGCGGCGGCCACGGCTTGGCTCAGGACGGAATCAGGACGGCACCAGGCCGGCCGAGCTGTCCACCGGACGGCCCCAGAGGCCTCAAGGCGGCTCCAGGGCTGGCCAGGATGGCCAAGGAGGCCTCAAAAACGCCCCACGAGAACTTCAAGGCGACCCCCAGAGTGCCACCGAAGGCACACATCATTGAGATGCCGCGGTGTTCAATGGATGATAGATGTCAGCGTTCTCGCGATATCGAGCTCTCGACGCTCCAAGAGGGACCAAATATCGCCCCAAGATGCCTTTGAAAGAGCCCCAGGAGGGGGCCCCAAGACGACAGAAGATGCCCTCGAGACGATCCTAGAGGGCCGAGACGGCCCCAAGAGGGGCCCCACAGGGGGAGCACGAACTGAGACTTGGAGCTTGTCGCTCCAAGAGGACTCCAACAGGCCCCCAATAGGCTCCCAGAGGCTCCCAAGAAGCCAGCCCCCTGGAGCCCAAGGCGGTCTCCAAGAGGTCACCCCCCTCGTGGCTCCAATGGACCTCCGAAGGGCTCCCACAAGGCCCCCAAGACGCCCCAGGAGGCCCACGAGGCCCCAGCGTCGCCAGGGCATGATTCATTGGCGTGCCAGGAAGCCCCCCTGGAGGGCCCGCGTGGTGCTCCGGCTCTGCGCGCTCAGTACGGCGGGCCTCCTGCGGGCCTGGCCGTGTCGGACCCCTACGATCTTGGCGAAGGAACAAAGGACAGGAAGACTTGCGACAGGATCGGCTGATTGAAGGCTTGCTCTAGCCAGAGTGCCGCCAAACCTGGGACAGACAAACACCCCTTTAAGAACGCGAGACCACAGGTCATACCGAGGAACTGTCGAAGGTAGCCCCTCCCAGGATGCACAAGAACATCCACCAAAGATGAAATGGCTCAAGATGGCTCCAAGAGGCTGGAGGACGTAGGGAGGAAGGGACGTAGGGAGGAGGGGGAGGGGGAGGAGGGGGAGGAGGAGGAGGAGGAGGAGGAGGGGGAGGAGGAGGAGGAGGAGGAGGAGGAGGAGGAGGAGGCGGAGGAGGAGGAAGGAGGACCTCGATCTCGATCTTGTACCTCGGCCCGACCGTGAGTTACCTTGGAGCACGGACGGAGGTCCCGAGCGCGGCGCGGCGCGGGTCAGGGCGGCACCCCACTCCTTTTGGAGGCTCACTCGGCGGCCCCATGGAGGAGGGAGGAGGGAGGAGGAGTAAGAGGGAGGAGGAGGGAGGAGGTGGAGGAGGAGGAGGAGGAGGAGGAGGAGGAGGGAGGAGGTGGAGGAGGAGGAGGCGAATGAGGAGGAGGAGGAGGAGGAGGCGGGGGAGGAGGAGGAGGAAGAGGACGTAGGGAGGAAGGGAGGGAGGGAGGGAATGGCTCAAGATGGCTCCAAGACGGCTCCAGACGGGCACGGCTCCCCCCAAGAGGCTCTAAGACGGGCCCAGGACGGCCCAGGACCGGCCAAAGATGGCCCAGGAGGCCGCCAAGACGCTCCAAGAGAGCTTTCAGAGAACCCCCACGATGGCCCAAGAGGCCAAAAATGCGGATGGTGCTTAAGCGTGTTAAGGATGTTCGTTTTCTGACCTTTTCGAGCTTCCTCCCTCCAAGACTGCACAAAAGGCTCTCGAGCTCGGCCCGGGAGGGCCGAAGTTGCCCCCAGCAGAGTCCCAAGAGAGGGCCCAAGAGGCCTCCAAGACATCACAAGAAGGCCCCAAGAGGGCACCCCTGTGGGCGCTGTTTACGTCGCGGCGCGGCAGAGGCAATCCGCTCGCGTGTCGGGGCGAAACAGGGACACGGAGTCGCGAATTAACCCGCATGCAAAGAGGGGAGGGAGGAGAAACGAGGGAGGCCGTCGAGAGGGGGCAGGAGCGCGGGGGCACTCCCACGCAGCGAGGCCGCGGGGAGCGAGCGGGGGCGGCTGGGCTGAAGGGCAGCCCCTGGCAGCAGTCGCGGGGTGGCATCATGACGCGCCCAGTGGCCAGGGGCGAAGCCCAGCAAATGGAGGAGGAGGAGGAGGAGGAGGAGGAGGAGGAGGAGGAGGAGGAGGAGGAGGAGGAGGGAGGGGTGGCGGCAGGCTGCCGCAAAACCGGGGCGCCAGGCGGG